CCGGCGCCTATCTTTCCAATGCCCCACGGGATCCCCAGCCCCAGCTGCAAGCCTGCCCCAGCCCTCTCCAGCCGGCATAGGAGGCGGGCATTGCGGCCTGTGCCTCTCAACACCCCTTGCGGCCCCAGTCTTTCCCGGACGGTGCAGAAGGCTAGCCCTGTGGGTCATCCCCCGCCTACTTAGCCGCTGCCCACAGGCTCCCGCCTGTGTGGCCTCTGCCCGCAGGCTCCACTCTACAGGCCTGCAAGGACCTGGGAGGGTTTGCTGATCTGAAGAGCAATTTCCCCTCACAGAGCCCTGCTCCGGAGCCCAGATCAGCACCACGGCCCGTGGTAGCGAGGCCCTGCCCACCTCCGTCTTCTATTAGGCATCACTAGAACTTGGAGGGAAAAGAAGGGGGGAAGGGATCTAAATATATACATATATATTTTTTATCTCGTGCTGATTTCCTCTTTTTTCTATTTTACTTTCTGTACTTTCTTTACTCCCTCTTTTCTTCCTCCTTTTTCACTATTGCTATTACTTCTCTTCTGCCCCTTTTGTATAGGTTTTCCTTCCATCTCTTTTTTTTCTTTTCCCACTTTCACTATTATCATTTCTCTACTCTCCTTTTTATGGCTTTTCCTTCCTTCTCTGTATCCATTCTTTTTCTTTTTCCCAAAAAAATTTTTTTTCATATTTTTAAATTTTTAACTTTTTAAATTATTATTAAACAACAAAAAAAAGGGATGCTAAGGGTACCCTGACAGACCAAGTCAAATCAGCCTGGGGACACTCACGGAGGCCCCACTCACCACTCCAGTCACTGAAATATCTCACCACTGCTGGTCACTAAGCCTACGGGGAACTCTGCCTACACAGCAATCTGATCCATCCTTAGAATAGGTCAAAGGTAACCGCCTGAGAGAATCCTTAACAGTAACACAGATAAGGGCCCCATGCCCTTCGAGAAACATGAGGCCTATGAAAGGATCAAGGAAAAATCAACAGACCACATCACTCCCAACAAAAAAAAAAACAGAGAGACAAAACATAGTAGCAGAGCTAACGTCTCTCATAGAAGAAACAGATACAGATCTGCCACAGAAGGAAATCTTCAGAAGTCTGCTC